CTGCATTCAGTATGCCAGCAAATATGGAAAACACAGCAGTGGCCACAGGACTGGAAAAGATCAGTTTTCATTCCAATCCCAAAGAAGGGCAATGTCAAAGAATGTTCAAACTACCCCACAATTGCACTCGTCTCACATGCTAGCAAAGTAATGCTCAAAATTCTCCAACTCAGATTTCAGCAGTACATGAACTGAAAACTTCCAGATGGTCAAGCTGGATTTAGAAAAGGCAGAGGAACCAGAGATCAAATTGCCAACATATGTTGGATCATAGAAAAAGAGAATTACAGAAAAACATACTTCTGTTTCATTGACTACGTTAAACCCTTTGACTGTGTGGATCACAACAAACTCTGGAAAATTCTTCCAGAGATGAGAATACCAAACCACCTGACCTGCCTCCCGAGAAATCTGTATGCAGGTCAAGAAGCAACAGTTAGAACTGGACATGGAACAACAGACTGGTTTCAAACGGGAAAAGGAGTACATCAAGGCTGTATATTGTCACCTTGCTTATTTAACTTATAGGCAGAGTATATCATGCGAAATGCCGGGCTAGATGAAGCAAAAGCTGGAATCAAGATTGCTGGGAGAAATATCAATAACCTCAGATATGCAGATGACACCACTGTTAATGGCAGAAAGTGAAGAGAACTAAAGATAAAGAGCCTCTTGATGAAGGTGAAAGAGAGTGGAAAAGTTGGCTTAAAACTCAACATTCAAAAAAATAATATCATGGCATCCTGTCCCATAACTTCATGGCAAATAGATGGGGAAACAGTGAGAGACTTTAGTTTCTTGGGCTCCAAAATCACTGCAGATGGTGACTGAAGCCACGAAATTAAGAGACACTTGCTCCTTGGAAGAAAAGCTGTGACGAACCTTGACAGCAGAGACATTACTTTGCCACCAGTGACCCGTGTAGTCAAAGGAATGGTTTTTTCCAGTAGTCATGTCATGTGAGAGTTGGACCATAGAGGCTGACCTCCAAAGATTGATGCTTTGGAACGGTGGTGTTGGAAAAGACTCTTGAGAGTCCCTTGGACTGCAAGGGGATCAAACCAGTCAGTCCTAAAGGACATTAATCTTGAATATTCATTAGAAGGACTGATGCTAAAGCTGAAGCTCCAATACTCTGGCCACCTGATGCAAAGAACTGACTCATAAGAAAAAACCCTGATGCTGGGAAAGATTGAAGGCAGGAGGAGAAGGGGACGACAGAGGACAAGATGGTTGGATTGCATCATTGATTCAGTGGACATGAGTTTGAGCAACTCCAGGAGATGGTGAAGGACAGGGAAGCCTGACATACTGCAGTCCACGGGGTTGCAAAGAGTTGGACACAACTGAGCGACTGAACAACAGCAACTGCCCGCTCAATAGTGAAGACTGCTGCTATGTCCTGCCTGCTCCCTGCTGCTGTGGTAGAATGTCACTTAAGGGCCTTGCTTCAGATATAAGCTCCCCCATCCATTAAACCATTGTTGACTCCAGACTCTTCTGTCTTGAGGCTGCGTAAGTGGGTAGGGTGCAGACCAAGAGTAATAGGAGAATGTATGGTTTTGTATTTACAAAGAAATTGCCATGCATGCACTATGTAGCATACATAGAAATAATTTCTGTGTAAATATACATAGAAGTGCATTTGACTTTTGTATAGTTACCTGTATCTAACAGCCTTGCTAAATTTGCCTGTTAATTCTTTGGTAAAAAAGAAAAAAATTTTTTATTATTTTTTGCTCGCACTCTGTGGCTTGCGGGACCTTCCCCAACTAGGGATTAAACCTGTGCCCCTTGTACTAGCAGTGCAGAGTCTTAACCACTGGCTCACCAGGGAAGTTCAACCTATTAATTCTAACTGTTTTTGGTGGGAGTAGATTAGCAGAAAATTTTCAAAGGTAACGATTTCTTAAGACACACAAAGGACTAGCTGTGTAATAAAAAATGAACAAATTTGATTTCATCAAGTTTAGAACTTTTGCTCTTTAGAAGACGTTGTTAAGGAAAACAAAAAAGCTTCAGACTGGAATAATGTATTTCCCATATATAAACTGGAGAAGAAAGTGGCAACCCACTCCAGTATTCTTGCCTGAAAAATCCCATGGACAGAAGAGCCTGGTAGGCTACAGTTCATGGGGTCACAAAGAGCGACTTCACTTTCATATATAAACATGACACAGGCTGTGTCCAGAATATATAAAGAATTGGTACCAATCAGGAAAAGGGACACAACACAGCTTTTAAATTATGCAAAGAATCTGAACACTCCTCAGTTCAGTTCAGTCACTCAGTCGTGTCCAACTCTTTGTCCAACCCCATGGACTGCAGCATACCAGGCTTCCCTGGCCGTCACAAACTCCCAGAGCTTATACAAACTCATATCCATCAAGTCAGTGATGCCATCCAACCATCTCATCCTCTGTCATCCCCTCCTCCTCCCGCCTTCAATCTTTTCCAGCATCAGGGTCTTTTTCAGTGAGTCAGTTCTTCACATCATGTGGCCATAGTATTGGAGTTTCAGCTTCAGCATCAGTCCTTCCAATGAATAGTCAGGACTTATTTCCTTTAGGATGGACTGGTTGGATCTCCTTGCTGTCCAGGGGACTCTCAAGAGTCTTCTCCAATACCACATTTCAAAAGCATCAGTTCTTCAGCATTGAGCTTTCTTTATAGTCCACCTCTCACAACCATACATGACTACTGGGAAAACCATAGCTTTGACTAGACGGACCTTTGTTGGCAAAGTAACGTCTCTCCTTTTTAGCATGCTGTCTAGATTGGTCATAGCTTTTCTTCCAAGGAGCAATCGTCTTTTAAAATTTCATGGCTGCAGTCACCATCTGCAGTGATTTTGGAGCCCAAAAAAATAAAGTTTCTCACTGTTTCCATTGTTTCCCCATCTATCTGCCAGGAAGTCATGAAACTGGATGCCAAGATCTTAATTTTCTGAATGTTGAATTTTAAGCCAGCTTTTTGACTCTCTTCTTTCACTTTCATCCAAAGGCTCTTTAGTTCTTTTTCACTTTCTGCCATAACGGTGGTGTCATTTACGTATCTGAAGTTATTGATATTTCTCCCAGCAGTCTTGATTCCAGCTTCTGCTCATCCAGCCCAGCATCTCACATGATGTACTCTGCATATAAGTTAAATAAGCACGGTGACAATATACAGCCTTGAAATACTCCGTTTCCTATTTGGAACGAGTCTGTTGTTCCATGTCCAGTTCTAACTGTTACTTCTTGACCTGCATACAGATTTCTCAGGAGGCAGGTCAAGTGATCTGGTATTCCCATCTGTTTAAGAATTTTCCACAGTTTGTTGTGATCCACACAAAAACTGGCATAGTCAATAACGCAGAAGCAGATGTTTTTCTGGAACTCTCTTGCTTTCTCGATGATCCAGCAGATATTGGCAATTTGATCTCTGGTTTCTCTGCCTTTTCTAAATTCAGCTTGAACATCTGGAAGTTCATGGTTTATGTACTGTTGAAGCCTGTCTTGGAGAATTTTGAGCATTACTTTGCTAGTGTTTGTGATGAGTGCAGTTGTGCAGTAGTTTGAGCATTCTGAAAAGAATGTAATCAGATGGTCACTAGCACATGGAGAGACGTCCCACACCATCGTGTCATCAGCAGAAGCAGTTTTTCCTTTTATTTGGCTGCATGTGTTCAGTCATGTCCAACTCTTTGTGACTCCGTGGACAGTAGCCTGCCAGGCTCCTCTGTCCATGGGATTCTCAGGCCAGAATACTGGAGCAGGTTGCCACTTCCTATTCCAACGGATCTTCCCAACCCAGGGATCAAACCCAAGTCTCTATGTCTCCTGCATTGGCAAACGGATTCTTTACCCCTGCACCACCTGGGAAGCCCTTACTTGGCTGCACCAAGTCTTAGTTGTGGCACTTCAGATCTTTAGTTGCAGCATGTGGACTCCTAGTTGAGGCATGCGGGATCTAGTTCCCTGAACAGGGATCAAACCCAGGCCCTCTGCATTGGGAATGGGGATTCTTAGCCACTGGACCACCAAGGAAGCCCCGGTTTTCTGTACCTTGACACTTTCTCCTTTTTCCTTATTTAGGCCTGTCACCTGTTTTATTTGTTATCTTTACTCCCATGGCAGTCAGTGAATTATTCTATTTTGATCCTTCTCACTTTTTAAAGATGTATTATTTCCAGCTTTTTGAGAACATAAAATACTTAAACCTGTTCTTCTCTTGTGTCTACCTTTTTTTAAATTAGCTCTTTGATTTACAGTTTAATGTATTTCATAACATCACCAGTTCTTTTGGTGACATTTTCGTTGTATCTTGTGATCTGATGATGCTCATCTCCTGGTCAGGTCCCGAGGAAGGGCCCACGAGTGCAGTTCTTGCATTAGCATTGTGGTTCTGTAGTCCAGGGGCTTAAAGATGACCTGGCTGGACACTGCATCCCTGGCTCATGCTTTCCTTGAGTTTTGTGAAAATATTATGCCACAGTTTCTGTTGAAAAAGTCTATTGCCACCCTTACTTCTCTTGTTAGATACTGGAGTTTTAAAAATCAAAGGCCTAAAGGATTTTTTGAAATAATTAAAGCCTAGTAGTTCGTTGTATTGTGATGTGTCTGTGGTGACCATACCAGCTCACCTTCCCCAGGATTTGTTTCCAGAAAGTTTCACTGGACATGAATTTTGTTTGTTTTTTTCTTACTGTGCCACCTGTCTGTTGCAGCACATGGACTCGGTAGTTTCGGCGCTCAGGGTTAGTTGCTCAGTGGCATGTGGAATCATGGTTCCCCAGTCAGGGTTCACACCCACGTCCCCTGTGGATTGGAAGGCAGGTTCTTTACCACTGGACCAGAAGGGAAGTCCTTGTACATGGATTTTCAGTGTTAGTCTGTTAATTATTTGACTTTTCTTCTGTAGGAACTTCATTTCTGTGTTTCTTAGACCTTTGCTTATCTCCTTGGACACTTTCTGGTTCTTTGTGGCTCTTGATCCCGTTTTTGTCCTGTTGCTTGCAGGCCACCTGTGCTGAAGGGGCAGTCTACACACTCACGGTGCCCTGGCTGCAGCTGCTGTCCAGAGTCAGCGTGTTTCCCAGCAACCCCACCAGTCTCCTCTGCTCACCTGACCGGCAGTGGGTGTTCGTGTCAACCCCGAACTCAGACTTGAGCCCGGAGGTCAGTGGCAGGCTCTGTCCCTTGCCTCAGGGGGCTGGCTTTGTGCACAAGCATGGTGGGTCCTGTTCCCTAGGCTTTTGGGGTGCATCTGGGGCGGGCGGCTCCTCATGTAGGACCAAACCGCACAGCCTGCATGGGTGATGATGAGTCATCTCTGACCTTTCACAGCAGCGTGCCTTCTCAGGGCCACCGGCTGAGCTGATGGCCATGGCGGCCTCGCCCAGGAGCCTCTGTTCTTTACACGCTCCCACGTTGCCCACAGGCTGGAGGGGGTCAGCTACCTGACTGTAGATGACAGAATTCAGTTTTGAAAAGGTTTGGGACGTCGTGGTGGAAATGCTTATGAGGTATTGGTGGCCTGAGAACAGGCTTCAACAAGAGTAAGGAAGACAGTAGGCCAGCATGGAGGAGATGCTGACAGCATGGGGACTGTATCCATTACCTGGAGGCCCATACACAGCTTGCCTGTGAGAATGGCTGCCTCTGCCAGTGATTCATGGGCTCAGAGATGCTCAGGCTGAGTGCCAAGGTCTGAATTGGAAAAGTGTGTGTGTGTATGTGTGCGCACACATGAGCGCAGGTACGCCCATAAACTTTGTCATTCAGTCGTGTCCAACTGTGACTGCTGGGCTCCTCTGTTCATGAGATTTCCCAGGCAAGAATACTGGAGTGGGTTGTCATTTCCTGCCCTAGAGGATTTACCCAACCCAGGGATCAAACCTGCATCTTCTGTGTCTCCTACCTTGGCAGGCGGATTTTTTACCACTGAGCGACCCGGAAAGCCTGAATTGGAAAATGAGACTGGAGTAAAAAGCAGGCAGCTGGAGAGGGTCTTGAGACATACTGGGATCGGTGAGCAAGGAAGGACAGAAAAAGAGAAGCAGTGGCCAAGCTGGACGGAACTGGCAGTCCTGGGACCTGGGAGTCAGGGGAGGCCAGGGGTCAGGGAGGGCAGCCAAAGGAGAGAAACCATAGGATCGGTGGGCAGCCTCACATCAGTTCCAGGGACCAAGAAGGGGTTTGGAGCCAGACTGCAAGAAGATACGAAAGGAGTATGGAGGAAGACATTGAAGGCAGAAGCAAGATGATGACAGGCGCTCAGGAAAAGAAAATCCATTTATTTGATTCACCCATTATATTGACCTCAATGGGACTGGTCTGCCAAGATCTTTCCAGCAGGGCCAGACATGGGGTGGGGTTAACCTCTTTTCCCTGGTAAGGGTGTTTGAGAAAGGCAGGTCCACATGAGGCACCCTGTGAGACCCAGTACAGTCACCATGGATGTGGTCTAGTGGGGGCTTTCGGAGTGCTCCTGGCTGGAGAAGTCTCCCTCACTGGCGATGAGACGTGTGGCGCTGTTTCCCCAGGTGTTCTACATTCAGTCCTTGCTGTGCCAGTCGGAAGAAGAGACTCCTACCTCCGCCTCTCTCCCCATCTGGCTGACGTCCAGAGCCTGCTGGGCCCCCGACGAGGCAGCCAGGCTGATGGTGATGCACAGAAATGACAACGGCATGCAGTTGGTCATCACCACCTATGAGCTAGGGACCAAGAAGTCCAGGGATAGAGCGGACATTCTCGGTAAGGATCCCCATGTCACCACCACTACCTTACAGTGCTTCAAGCACAGATTCCTCATGTTTCCTTTGGGGCACTTTTTCTTTCCTCTCAGTGAATCATAGTGACCCCACAAATGTTTTCTAGTTGTGATTTAGTGGGCTGGTGGAGTGGTTGAACACTTGCTGTGTGTGGGGGCCCTCTGCATGGCCGTGGGATTCAGATGTTAGCTGCTGTCCACTCTTCTCCCTTCTCTTCATCCCCACCTCTCCTTTTACAACTGTGTCCCAGTCACCACTCTCAGCACTGAGTGCGTACAGAGGTGAGTAAAAGCCACAACTGTCTCTTCCCTAAGGAGCTCCTAGTCCAGTAGGAAAATAAGACCCACATCTTTGTCCTTTCCTGTCTCCTCTGTTTTCCAAACCCCACATCACCCCGATAGGCCTTTTCTTTGTTCCTTAGCATTTTTTCCTTTTTTATTATATTCATTTGTTTTCCTGTCATCATTTGACCATAAATTTTACTCTGAGCTTCCTGGCAGCCAAGGAAAAAAAGGGAAACAGGATGTGTAATATAATCCCTTGTCTGATACGAGAAAACGCATGAGCTCTTCAGAAGAGGTAATTTTATTTTCCTGGTGCTAACTAAACTCCATAAGGAAATGATCAAATTAATTTTTTTTTTAACAAGGAATGCTGTACAGTATAAAAGAATCTTCAACAGTAGTTTTCAGCAGATGTCATAAATGTCATAGTTCTCATGTGGTCATGTCTTGCATCGCCCTGTCTTAGATGGGGAAGGGTAGAGAGCAGGGTGGAAGCCTCACCCCTGGATAGTACCATGGGTCGATACTGTCACTCCCATGTTCATATGGCCTTGAACCTCACAGTCCCCCTGTAAAGCAGCACAATCCACGTTTGAGAGCTGATGACCAGTAGACTAGGGGAGTAAATGCATGGGTCAGGATTGACTGCAGATATGACACAAAGCTGTTGCTCTTTTCATTATTCCACATCCTCGTAGGTGAGGCATGTCTATTCCAGACCCCCAGCAGCTACTAAGACGTGACAGTCTCTGTGCCTTTATTTCAAAAAGCACAACAGATTGCGAGCTTCCTGCTGCCAGACACCATGATGCCTCCTCACCTCATGAAGAGCCACGGCTCCCAGGTGATCCTGCTGGTGTCCGGCTCGGAGCTGGTGCTCTTCACCATTCACGGCCTGCAGCTGGTGGCCTTTCAGGACCACCAGAGGCCCATCACGTCCATGTGGGTGGTGAGTGTGGCCCCTTGCCTGCCTGCTGCCAGCATCGTGGCTCCATGCTTTGGAGCCCGCATCCCTGCCTCACTTGGTTTTTTGTTTCAAGGACCAGACTCGAGTCATCACCTCTTCTTTCGACCTCTCCCTGCGAGTCTACATGTGGAACAAGGAAAATAAATTTCCCGTCCTCAAGAGCTGCTATCATTTGCTGGGTGGGTCTCACAGATGCGCCAGGTAATTGTTTCTGACTTTTTAAATGTTACCTACAAATTGGCCTCTCCTGGCCCCTCAGCAGGAGGATACCATTGGCAAGAATGTGAATGGGACTTTGGGTCTTAGCCCAGCCTGCCTTTCCCTATATGGGGACCTGAGGCAAGTCACTGTTCATATTTAGCCTCTGTTTTTAAAAAAAGATGCTACACTATGCATCATTTGCATTATCTCCTTTAATATACAAAGCCACCACCTGCAGTTAGCATCACCCACATTTCCCAGATGAAGTCAGCGATGTGGGTTTTGCCCAAAGGCCCACAGGGGTGCACAGTGAAGCCAGGGTCAGCCTGGATGCAGCCCTTAGCCTACCTCTGTAACCTGCACAACGCCAGTCACCCTGGGTCAGGAAGATCCCCTGGAGAAGGAAATGGCAACCCACTCCAGTATAACAAACCTACCTAGTTGCTGAGTTTGAGAGCCGTAACATTCCGTCTCCACACTGCAGGCCATGAGGGGCTGTATATTTCCTACTAAAGATCCTAGTATGTTGCTTTCTACCCTCCCCTGTGCTCAGGAGAGGTGGCCTTGCTCTGTTCTGTCTGTACCTAGGCCGCAGGCCAGCCTTAGTGAGGCAAGCCCCTCAGGCCAGTGGAGGCCCTGATGACATGCCCCGCATCCACTCATGACCCCTCAGTAATGATTTTTTCCCTCCAGTGGCAGGAGACATATGTGCGAACAAACACTTGTTGCCACTGGAAGGAGGCCCCTGAAGAGCTTGCCAGCGATGTTGGTCTCCCAAGATGTGCCTTTTTTTCTTTCCTTTTTTATATGTGCCTTTGAAGAATTCCCTATATCACTACTGAATGGTTAGAACATCTTTTCACTGAAATAACACTGTTGTCAACTTAGTAAGCAAGTAGCACTTCTAGAAACTTCTTTTTTACATGTTTTTAATCACTGCTCTACATGCATCACACAAAGCAGAACACTTTCATTCACTGAAATATTAATTTTGCACAATTAGAAACTTCTTATTTTTTTTAATTACTATTGATTTACTTACCTCTGTGCTGGGTCTTCATTGCTGCATGCAGGCTTTTTCCAGTTGCAGTGGCTTCTTGTTGCAGAGCCCAGGCTCTAGAGCATGGGCTTAGTAGTTGTGGCACACGGGCTTTGTTGCCCTGTGGCCTGTTGGGTCTTCCTGGACCAGGGATCAAACATGTGTTCCCTACATTGTTGGCAGGCATATTCTTAACCACTGAGCCCCCAGGGAAGTTCCAGAAACTGCTGTTTTATATGTGTTTTTAAACTGTGCTATTCTGAGGCTTCCCTGGTGGCTCAGCTGGTGAAGAGTTCACCTGCAGTGCAGGAGACCCAGATTTGATCCCTGGATCAGGAAGATTCCCTGGGGAAGGGAATGGCTATTCTTGCCTGGAGGATTCCATGGGTAGAGGACCCTGGCGGGCTACAGTCCATGAGGTCGCAAGAGTCAGAGACAACTGAGTGACTAACACACCCATTTTATAGGATGGTAAACACATCCATTCACTGAAATGACACTGTTCTCAATGAGCATAGCACACTTAGAAACATAAATGTGCTTTAATCAGAACCCTGGAATGTATTTCAACCTTGAATTCTGCTCTTTCCCAATTCATAACATTCTTCAGAAATCCTTAGTTGATGCAAGTGGCAAATTCTCTTTGAGGGCTTCACTTGGCAATCATAAACCCAGCAACCTAGCTCTGTGCTGATCCCCACAAGATGGGCAGCTATGGACTGCATTTCATCTATCTTTTCATTACTTTTTAGGAGCTTTTCAGTTTCCTAAAATGTTATGATCTGTGAATACATACTCTGATTTTCCAAAGAAAACAGGTGTGTTAAACATAAATTTAATAGCAAACCTAGCAGCATACCCTTAGGAGAAATAAAACATGTCTACAAAGACTTGTACTTGAATGCTCTTAGCTGATTTATTCAGAACACCCTAAAAGTGCAAACAGTGCAGATGCCCATCAACTGGTAAATGGATAAATCCACTATGGTGCATCCATCCAGGGGAGTTTTATTCAGCCGTAAAGAGGAATGGCATATGACATACATGTAGGTGAACTGCCAACATATTGTGCTGGTGAAAGAAGCCAAATTGTAAGGTCACATATTGAATGATTCCTTTAATGTGGTACATATAGAAAAGGCAAGTCTATAGGAACAGAAGGTTAATTACTGCTGCCCAGGGTTGGGGGTAAGATGGGATTTACTGCAGATGGCTGCACCAGATGTTTTTGGGCCAATAGAAATGTTTTTAAAACTGGGTTTTAGTGATAGTTACAGAGTTCTGCAAATTTACTAAAGATGAGTTGAGGGGGTGGGGGAAGATGAAGAGAAAGTCCGTAAAGAGAAAAAGAAAGAAGATAGATGCTAGTTCAACCTTATTTGCTAACAAACCAAGGAGACTGCTGACTGACTGCTTGTATCAGGGAGCAGTTGTTGCCCTGCTCAGCCCCGCCGTAGACCAGCCAGTCCTGCAATTTTCCAACCCAATCCTTCAGTTTTCTGACACAGTCTGCAAACTGCCACATTCCACTCTTGTTATTAATCTCTTTTTTTGGTGGTTGTTTGCACAAGATGTGGGTTTTTTAATTAATTTATTTTAATTGGAGGCTAATTACTTTATAGTATTGTAGTGGTTTATTAATCTCTTAAGCTGAGTAAGTCATCATGGGATTTACTCTAAGCTGAAAGGTAGTTCATGAAAGCCAAAGCTAGTTTCAGAAGCAATCTATAGACAAAAAGTGGGCTTCTGTGAGAAACTCAGGCAGTTCTGTGTGTGTTTGTTGGTTTGTTTGTTGGTTTGGTTCTCTGTGCACTTGCTCCGTTTTTCTGTGGTGCCGCAGAGCAGCGTTGTGTGTTTGTGGAAACTGAAGGCCCCATTGGCTCCTGCCATTATATCTCCTTCACTGAGACTGGTTAGGAATTGATAGTAATTCTAAATTTTGGAGAAATGACTCTGACCTGCCCAGATTGGATGAGGTACCCCCCACTCCTGTATCAGGAGAAGTTTCCAGAGTAGCTGGAATCATTGTGATTCAGACAGCTACCATCAGGAGAACCTCCAACTGATCACACTCAAGAATGGGAAGATTTTTGCTACTTGATACAAATGAACATAGGTCCTCAAGTCAAAGCCTCAAGTCAAAGCCCAGTATACTCACAGATGGGGTGGACTGGGTGGAAAGCGTACAAGATTGAGCTCCATCTTCGTGTAAAAGCTTTATGACTTAAACATTTGTCCTTTTCCGAAGTTAACATGTAGCATGTCCCTTCCTTCACAGTGGATTTACTCATGTGGAGAGTGACGGTATGACCATTGTAGGCGTGGAAACCAGAAACATCGGAACTAGTATTCTGAGGTCATATTACTTCCAAGTGCAGTGTGGCTAAGATGACAGCATCAGCTGAAGATTGTCACCACAGTTGGTGAGGTGCTTGTCTACATACAGAGACTAAAGTAATTATTGTATCAACATCAGAAAAAGAAGTAATGATTTTCAAATACCTACTGTGGGCCACACAAGTATGTGAGGTGACTATTTTTAAATCCTCACCAGAAGCCAGTGAAGTGTAGATATTACTGTCTGTATTTTTCAAAGAAGTTGAGATGTAACAGAAGAGTAGCTAACCCACTGTTAGCCCATTTTATGCGGCACAGCATTGCATGGCTGCAGGGCACCGTTCTGTGCCTGGTGAAAATGATGCCTCTGGAGTTGGTCCACATGGAAGCCCTGACTGGGTTAGCGGGTCTATCCTTAGAGTTCTTAATTGCAGGCAACAGGAGCAGCAGGCTGGATCACTAAATTCACCAAAAAATGAGTTTATTAGAAAGAGGGTAGCATAGAGGGGCAGTGTGCAGTCTTGAGAAGTAGGCCTGGCACCATGGGAAGCTGGCAGCAGGTGACAACCAGGGCCGGCTCCAGCAAGGCCTGGCTCCCCGGCTCTGCTGCTCATGTTCCTATTTCCCCTCCAGCTCCACCACACTGCTGCCACCATGCTCCCATCACTGTCACTGAACAGGCATCACTGCCATTATCTGAAAACTTCCCATCTTCCCCTAAGGAAGTGTGACTCTTGAGACTCAGTGGAGTGTGCGTATGGAATTTACTGGCCTGGGTCACATGCCCACACCATCAAGTTCAGGATGGGAGAGTCTGGCCCATTCAGCTTTAATAGTAGGTACTCACAACCAAGATTCATACAGTGAAAAACTCCTCAAAAATAGAAAGTAAACATTAAAAAGTTCCCTACTACATTCTGCTGCTGTAGCTGCCCAGTACCCAATATACCCTACTGCCTGTATTTGCCTTTTAACAATAGTTTTTTGGCCTAACACAGCACCTATATACTATGTAGCCAAGCCCACATGTAGTCGTTTCACCCAGAGGAGAAAATCTAAGGTTTTTCTCTCGTTTAATCTTAAGGTTTATTTTGGAGTTATTTTAAATCTACAGAACATTTGCAGAGATAGTACAGAGGGTTCCCATATGCCCTTTACCCAGTTTCCCTAATGCATTAAATCTTGCATAACTGGTACACTTAAAAACCCAAGGTCTTTGTTAGCTGTGGGAACTGGTTTCAAGGGAGAACTCTTAGGGGTGTGAATCTCTCTCTTAGTTCAATCACAATTTTGCTTGATGTTCCAAAACTCATGAACTAAGTACTAATGCATTGTATATGCAGCAGTGGGGAAAGGGGAAGGAGATGAGAAATTAGCTGAAATAAATATACATACATATGATACAGCAGGAAAGGAAACAGCTGTTTGGAGATGAACGGAAAACTTCAGATAAGTTGAGATATAGGAAGGTTTTCTGAAGACACAGGGAAAGGGGTTGGGGTGTCAGCAAGAGATTGGAGATCAGACATGGGAACTCTTGAGTGTGTGGACCCACCTAAGAAACTTGGACACGTGATGGCTGGGAAAGCAGTTCTGGTCATTCCTAGGGGAAGCCAGCTAATCAGGTCCAGGCACTCTGTCCTCAGCTGCCACATTAGGTATCATGTCTGGGAGTGGCAGCCCTACCCAAGGTCAAATGCAGTTCTAGGGGTCCCTGCTTTGGGTGTGTGTAGGAGGTTTGTAAGAGAGCCTATGGGGATATAGGGAGCTCTGGGGATTTCTGTGAGTCTTGACAAGGGTAGGTCCTGAGTCTGGCAGATGGGCTTTTGTCAGGAAAACATGGTCTGCTGGGCTGTGGTGCCATGGCCCCAGGAATAGGCACTTCGTATGTCATGCTCTAAAGTCCTCTTAAGTCCAAGTCCTGAAGGCTTGATTTACAAGGTGCAATGGGCACTGTTCTAGTCAAGGAGCATAAGGACCTAAGTGGTCCTCCTCGAGTCCTGCAGAAGCATGCAGATCCTGTGAGACCTTCCATTAACTCCTGGTGTAGGCATATGTATTCTGTATTAATTTTTTAAAAATGTCCCTAGTCATTGGCTACAGGTCAAGTCTTAACAGACTGCAAAATACTGACTGCTAACCGTGTATTCTTGGCTATAATCACACTGTCAGTCATAAAGTTCTCTAGTCACTGGCTACAAGTCAAGTCTTAAACTGCAAAATACTAATTGCTAACCATGTATTTTCGCTGTAGTCACACTATCGGTCATCGGTTCAGAGCACACACTATATCTTGTATTGGAAGATTGTATCCAAACCTCACTAAGTATTGTCTCCCCAGCCAGCACCTTAGCTGAGCCTTCAGTAGGCCATCCCATATTGTATCATGCCAGTTACTTCTGGATGATGGATACATGACAAGATCAACGCATTGCACAGTCATGAGCTCATCGTCACCCCTCTGGTGTAAAATGGGTCACCCCTCTGGTGTAAAATGGGTCCTTCGTTCTGAGGCACTGTTGTGCAGGATGTCTGGATAAGCCATTCAGCAAGTTTGGGAGATGATGCTGACAGAGCTGTGGGCAGTTATGGCAAAGTAGGCAAGAATATACAATGGAGAAAAGACAGTGTCTTCAATAATTGGTGTTGGGTAAACTGGACAGTTTCATGCCAAAGAAACAACTACTTTCCCACATCACTAAAAACCTCAAAATGGATTAAAGCTTAAGTCTAAGACTTGAAAACATAAAACTTATAGAAAAGCATAGTACCTTCTTTGACATTGGTCTTAGCAATATTTTTTTTTAATATGTATCATTAGGCAAGAGAAAAGCAAAAACAAACAGGACTACATCAAAGCAAAAAGCTTTTGTACCGCAAAGGAAACTCAGCAAAATGGAAAAACAGCATGCTGAATGGGAGAAGGTATTTATTTGCAAATAATAAACAGATAAGGGGTTAATATCCAAAATATACAAAGAACTCATAGAACTCAACACCAGAAGGACTAACAATCCCACCAAGGATCTGAATAGACATTTTTCCAAAGATATAGATACATACGACTTAAGACATGAAAAGATGCTCAACATATAAAAGCTCCCATTACTAAACATCAAGGGAATGCAACTAAAAATCACAATGAGATAACACCTCACACATGTCAGAACAGCTATTACAAAAAGATAAGAAATAACAAGTGTTGGTGAGGATACAGAGAAAACCCTTGTGCACTGTTGGTGGTACAAATTGGTTCAAGCATTATGGAAAAGAGTATGGAGTTTCCTTAAAAGTAGAACTACCATAAGATCTAGCAATTCCACTTTGCATATTTTTTCCAAAGGGGAAAAAAAAAACACTGATTAGAAAAGATGTATGCACTCCTATGTTATTGCAGCATTAACAATGGGCAACATATGGAAACCACCTGAATGTCCAGCAATAGATGAATGGATGAAGATGTGGTATATTATATGTAGTGGAATATTAGCCATAAAAAGAAAAATCTTTTGTGAGTTCAGTGTGACAGCATGAAAGGTCCTAGAGGTGATTGCACTAAGTGAAATAAGTCAGAAAGAAAAATGAAGTGATTTTAACTTATACGTGGAATCTAAAAAACAGCAAATGAAAAAAGGAAAACAATAGATACAGAGAAGAAATAGTGATTGCCATAAGGGAGGGGGTGGTAGGTTGAATGCAATAGGTGGAGAGTAAGAGGTACAGACTCCCAGTTACAGTATAAATGAGTCATGAGGATGAAATATACAACATGTGGAATATACTCAGTAATACTGTAATATCTTTGTATGGTGACAAATAACTAGACTTACCATAGGAAACATTTTGTAGAAATATTGAATCACTATGTCGTGCCCCTGGAATTAACGTAGTATTATAAGTCAATTATGCTTCAGTTAAATAAAAGAAAAAAAGATAGTTCTTTGAAAAGATCAATAGAATTGATAAGCCTTTAGCCAAGCTAACTGAAAGAAAATACAAATTAGTAAGATCCAAAATAAAAGAGGGACATTACTACAGATCCCGTGGATATTAGAAGAATAATCAGGAAATACTATGAACAACCATATGTCCACAAAATTTGGTAACCTAGATTACATTGAGCAATTCCTTGAAAAATGTGTCTGCCAAAACTTACACAAGAAGAAAAAGACTGAATAGGCCTGTATCTAATAAATTGAATCAATAATTAAAAACCTTTTAGAACAGCAGCAGGCCCAGATAGGTTCACTGGTGAATTAAAACATTTAAGGAAGAATTTATGCCAATTCTCTACAATCTCTTCCAGAATACAAGATGCAGAAGGGAACCTCCTAACTCTATATGAGGCCAGCATTATTCTAAAACCAAAACCAGATTGTCTTTAATAGACCAGTCTCTCTCATGAATACAAATGCAAATGTTCTCAACAAAATATTAGCGAATCAAAACCGAAATGTATGTAAAGAATTTATTCCAGGTATGCAAGTTTGGTTTACCATCTGGAAATCCATTAATTTACCACATCAACAGGCTAACAAAGAAAAATCACATGACTATATCAATAGATAAAAAGTATTTGACAAAATCCAGCACTCATTCTTTTATAAAATTAGCAAACTAGGAATAGAGGGGAACTCTCAACTTGATAACATCTACAGCTAACATCATACTTAATGGCAAGAAACTAGAAGCTTTTCCACTAAGAGCAGGAACAAGGCCGATGTCCTCTCACCATTCCTTTTCAACATCATACCAGAAGATCTAGGTCATGTGGTAACAACAAAAAAGGGAAATAAAAGTTATACAGGGTGGAAAAGGAAATAAAATGTTCATTTATTACATGATTGTCTATATAGAATAAACAAAAAATTTCTTGAACTAATAAAGTTATTATAGCAAGTTTACAGGATACAAGGTTAATGTACAAAAGGTTATTAACACTTTTATTATACCAACAATAAACATGTAGAATTTTAAATTTAGAATGTGTTACCATTTACATTAACACTCAAAAAATTTAGTTATATGTAAATCTAAGAAAATACATATAAGATCTATATGGGGAAAAAAAAAAAAAGATCTATATGGGGAAAACTACAAAACTCTGATGAAAGAAATTTAAAAAGAAATACAGGTAGAGATATGTTCATGGCTGGGAAAATTCAATTTTGTCAAGATATTCATTGTTCACAACGATTTATAGGTTCAATGCAATTCCTATTAAAATGCCAGCATGTTATTTTATGGATGTCAGCTAGGTGATACTAAAATATATCTGAAGTGGCAAAAGACCCAGAATCACCAGTA